TGCACATAAAACCGTATTAAAACAAACTCAATTTTAAAACAAAACAGTTTTATCATATAGTTTTAAAATATTCTATAAAACATTTCTTTAAGAGTATTTTATCCTGCAGTCTCATTAGAAAAATATATTGCCTTAATAAAACAGCGTCTCTTTTTTGTGCAACAATAAAACCATATTAAAACCATTATTAAAACTACCTTTCTTAAAAAATGTTACTTGGGGAGGGCGCTTGGCCGCTGGCCACACCTTGTTTTCTTGGTTGCTTAATAAATATAATTATTAATATGTACAGTTTTGTGTTAATGAATCCCCATATAAACCACTTACTAGCAGTACCGGTGCCAATGTTATCGTACTCCTTTTGTTCGATGATTTTGAAATTTTTACAAATAAAAAAATAAAAATATTATTAATGGATAGATAGATAAATTTATTAGGTAATTCACATTACATTAAACTTTAAACTGTTTTAATAGTTATTTATGTCTTTGGGTCAAGAAGTAAGTCTTTTTGGGCTGAACTGAAAGTCTAGACTGACGCGTAGCGAACCACAAAAAGACTTACTTCTTGGCCAAATGGCATACATTTTATCTTCAATCTATATTTGTTAAACGATATATAAAACGTACAATTATTAAAAGTAGAAAGGTTGTATAGATCTGAAAGAAGTCGATTGGTCCAAAGTAAAAAATAATGATTTTTTACAGACTAAGCTTTAAATAACCTACACTTTAATAACGAGTATTGACAACAATAACATTTAAATTATAGACCGATTAAAGATGAAAATTTTTATCTGTATATAAAGTAGTACAGTACTTTATTAGAAATATTTTTTATTTTATTAGGTAAAAATGGTAAAATTTGTTTTATTTTATACTTTTGTTCTTTACAAAATTATAACTGCATATTAAAAAACTCAAATTTCATATATATTTAATTTACCCTTTTTCCATACCGTACGATAATATACATTTAAAAACGATAATTTTGGATTGTTCGTGCGATAATTTACATTTAACATCCAATGCGTTGTTAAAGTAAGACGTTCTACGAGAGTTACATTTTAGGTAAAGTTCGTTGTTTTTAGGAAAAATATGTAAAACAAATTAAAAAAACACATTAATAAAAATACAAATACCCAAATTCAAATTTAAAAATCCCTCAAAAAAAGTAAATTATCCCTCGAATCGGGATATATCCCTCTATTTGACAAAACTGTTCTGAGTACTGGCATAATACGAATGAAATTGGGTAAAAAAAATGTTTTTTTCGATTTATTGTCTACGCTCATGTATCTCATTATTATACTAGAAAATTAAAGTTATTATTGTACTAATACAATAATGGATAACTTCTAAGGGCTGCGTTGAGGGTAATAATATTGATATTATATTATGTTAGAAGTATATTCTGTGAATAATTATGGAGTATAGGGGGTATCAATCCCATCTGAATCTAGATCCAATACGAAATTTCGAATAGAGTGTATATATATCACAGGTTATTTCAGGTTTTAGTTTACTATGGCTATATCCAGACTTCACCAGCAAATGTAGAAATTTATTTTAACTAAAAAAGTTTCTATAGAAACTTTTTTAGTTACGTTTAGGGGAGGGTTAGGACTTTGTGACATCGTGTGCTTTAATATTGCTATTATGCGTGACATGGGGGAGAGGGGTATGAAATCACCTAAAAAGGTGTGACGTACTTTAGCGGCTTTAAAAAGGTATATTTGGCTATTAAAAAAGATATGTCCGGCTCTTACAGCAAAATAATGTTTTAAAATCTCAAAAGAATATTCTAAATAAATGAAAAAAAAATGGTTGTACAACCCGGCGGCGAAAGCTTATTAATTGTACACAATCTACTGAAATGTTTGCTCGGCTATAATTTGTGCTTTCTCCGTCTGGTCTATACAAAAAAAAATACATAACATGTATTTATACCTACTGTATTATTTTCAGAAAATAAAACGACATTAGCTTGACACTGACAAGTATAATTATTTATCAAGTCACGTCCTGGGACTTTTGGGTAAGGACCATAGTACAGCTAATAGCTGGCCATACACAGACGTTATTGCGCGCGGTTTATCGTGGCGTGTTGGGATGTAGCGGTTAGTATGCACGAAAGAACGGCATGGGAAAAAAGCGTCATGTTCCATACACTTGATAAAGGATTCAAATGATTTAGCAAGTGATTGCGCGTGGTATATCAGTTTCAAAGGAAAAATCGTATGTGAGTGGGCAAAAAGTGTCATTTATCGAGTCGTTTGAAACTGCATGTGATCATGTACAAATTTTCAACGTGAAATTTCGCCAACCCTGCTTAAAATACCCCATAGAGACCTATACAAAATAATCTATAGGGCGCTACCGGATTCAATATGTGCATTTGTCCATGGTTTTTTCCGGATACGGCCCGATAGAAATTGTATAGGAAATTACACATAGGCACACCATAACATTTACATTTTTCCTATTGAGACCGATAGAAAATAACTCAATGAAGTAGTGATGGGTCCAACCAGCACATTCTTGTGTGCTAGCACACGTTGCACAGCACACTACAGTGTGCGGCACTGTGCGTGTCGTACATTTGTGCGGGGTGGGGGAAATTATTCAAATTGAGAATCTCGCACGTTGCACAGCTCAGCACACTGTGCGTGTCGGTTTTGGATTTTTAATTGATATAAAATCCAGTTTTATGTTTTTTTATGTTTATTATTAAAGTCGATAAATACAATTTTAACTTAAACCCTTTTTTGATAAGTGGCAATTTTTTTAAAATATAATTATAATATAGACTGTGTTGCCATCTATGGACATTACGTTACATTATGGATTGGATATTTTCCAAGATATACAAACTGTTAATTATATAAAATAATTTCTCTACAACTTGTAACCATATACTTACCACACAGGTAAGTATATGCTTGTAACCTATTGTAGTGCCATCTATGTGTTCTGTGCTGAATCATAGAGTCAAAGCCACAGACGTAAAGATTCTTTACTATAAAGAGCCATAGGTTAGATGAAGAGCAGTGCTGTTTCAGCGCACCGTTCCACATATGATAAAGGTGCTATGTGCTGGTAGCATATTTAAAAAGAGTCGTACCAGCTCCGCACACACAAAAGTGTCGTACATTATGTACGACTCGCACATGTGCGACCCATCACTACAATGAAGGATATATGGGTATATCCCTATAGAGCAACCATAAAACATTTGACAAAATTTTATTAAAACCTATAGGGTCCTATGGAAGAAAAAGTAATTTTTACATTTATGTGTATTTTCCCCATTGGAACCAATAGCAAATAAATCAAGGGTGAATATCCCTATAGAACAACCATAAATCCCAACTATGGGTCATATACATACCGATACACCCTATAGAAACACCATACATTCCGATACAAATATATATCGGTTTGAACAGGGTCTCTATGTGGTATTTTAAGCAGGGAAGCGAAGGTAAACCGTGACGCGGAATGTGGCGTGTGGACACTGCTGAAATGATGTACGCCACAATCCACACACGTGGATTGTGATGTACGCCACACTCCAGAGAAAAGCACGTCTGAAATCCCTTCCCGTTCTATCATTGCGCGCGGCGATACTCACATAAGTACATGATTTTCCATATGTTTTTGCAGATAACACGATAAACCGCGCGCAATAACGTCTGTGTATGGCCAGCTAATGACCGATAACGCAAAACGAAACGAAATGTTATTTGTTAGTCAAAAAATCGAGTGATCCCTACATTTACGCTAGATTTCGTTACGTTAGTTGGACTGTCCAACTTGGACATAGTCTAACATTAAACTTTATTATTGTAAAACTGTGTGGTAAATGTAAAACACGAGAAAAAATACTCTATTTTAGAAAACATGCTTTAACTGTTTAGTTAACTTAATACAATGTAGCACTACTTTTTTTTCTCTAAAAGAATTTGAGTATTTTAAATTCAGATTTTTTATAAACTTTCAAGAACAATTTTACAAAAATATGCGAAACAAATTTTGTTCAAATAAGCGGACACCGCATGATACAAATGGTATGCAAACGGTTTGTAAGAATATTGATCAAAATTTGTGTTAGATGTTTTCCCCTCTTAATATTTAAAAAAAACAGAGACAATAAATCGTCGTTGAAAATACGTAAAGGCTTATCTCTTTTTAAACATTTTGAGAAACGCGTTTTACCCCTTAGTATTAGTATTGTTTGTTTGATAATTATCAATTATAATTATTATATAATTACATTGTTTCTTAAACGTTTAAAATAGTATAGGAAATGCTTTAAATCGCTCTCTTGAAAACAAGATAACAACATAACATAATATGTTGTGTGTATGTATATACATATTAGGGTGCTTTGTTTGAAACGACTATTTTTTTTCTCACTCCATTGACGAAATATTGTTCTAAACATAGAAAAAAAAATCCCTCCAAAAGAGAGCTCTTAATTTTAATTTTATGTACTCGCTAAATGAATTTAAAGTTTTCCCATTTAATTAACCCGTAAAAATATTTTTTTTTTGCTTAAATTATCTATAGTGTAGCGACATTTCATGGCATTCATTTGACCATGGGTGGAAGTTGGAGAGGGACCATTCCTCTTTAAAAGCTCTTACAGCTAATTTCCAACTTTTGAATTATATTGCCAGTAAAAAATTATGTGGTTGATTTTAAAAAGTTATTTTAATGTTTTTTTTACTGCCTATCAAAATTGACTAAAGGCATTTTGCCAAGAAAATCTGGTCTTTCGTAATAATGCATTTAGTTTAATTAGTTTAAAATCAATTTTACTAACATTCCTCAGATATTTTAAACCTATTCTTACAAAAAAACCAATAGATACAAAAACATAATAAAATTGTTTGGACAGTTTTGGTATGTTATGGCTTACAAAATGTGTAGGTAACATCACTCTTAGATCTATAAGGATTTTAAATATATTCCATATATAAAATTAAACATACTTACATCTCTTTTTTCTGTCTCATTGGAAGACTCTGGTTCATTTTTGCTTCCAGATTTCCTCCTGTAAAACCGTCTTCCATTATATTTTCTATCTGGTCTGGGATTGGAATTTTCCTTATCAGTCTTGCTGTTGCTATTGCTATTCTTGCGAAATGGTTTCCTGAACTTTCTCACCCTACCACCCTCATCAACATCTGAATCTTCCTCCTTCAGAGTAGTTTCAATACCTTCCCTAAAAATAGTTATATATAAGGACAAATAAAACACCTTTATTATAATAAAGGTGTTTTATTTGTCCTTACAAAGTTTACTGTATCTGAATTTCAGTAAAAGTTTAAGTTAATCAAAATTGAAAAGTAAATTATGTAAAATATTCCTCTGGCACTTATAATGCAAATAATTATGTACAAATTGTACAATACAATAAATTTAAAAATAGTAAGTAATTATCATTATCAGTGCCAGAGGAATAATATTTTAATATTTATAATGTTCTTAAATATGTGAAATTACATTAAAAATATTTTAAGCAAACAAAATTACCCTTTGTGTTTTTCTTTTAGTATTTGAAGTGTTTTCATCATATTCACTCTTCTTTTAGATAAAATCTCCCAAAAAATCTTTTCAGGCCTGGGCAATTTTTTCTCTACTTTAATAATCTGTGTAGGAGTCAAAATATAGTCAACTGGAACATCATATTTTTGAAATAATTCCACAGGCAACTCATCAAACACTTGCAAGTCATGAACAGTTGTAACAATAACTGTGTTATTGTTGACTGCTTTCATTTCTTTTAAAATTGCAAATTCCAAGTCAGCATAGCCTCTTCCTTTGCCAATTCTGTATCCCTGCTTTGAAACAGCCACACTGCCCAAAACAAATAAATCAATATGAACAGGATCATTTAAATCTATCATTTCACCCATGTGTTCAATACCCCATCGGCTAATGATTTTTTTAACATCAGTTTCCTCATCTTTCTTTAGTTTTTTTAACAGGCAATTTTTCAGTCTTGGTATTGGAACATATAACTCTTTTTCCTGTTCCAAGGCTAAGATTCGCGAATGTTCCAAAGGCTTATCAGGATTTATTTCCACTGATTTTGCATTACAAAACTCTTCAAGTTCGAGCAATTTAGCTGCAGCCAAATCAGCTCCCTTGAAATTCGGGATTCTACCGAAAGGTCTTGGAAATGTGGAGACTTTATTTTTATTAAGAAGCTCCCAAACCTGACGCCGCAATGATTGTTTGGAAATTTCTGAAGAAAATTGTTTTTTGAGGTTACGTTTCTGAAAAAACATTTCTTACCTTTTTCCTCTTGGATTGTCTCCTTAGGAGGGCTAGTATTCTCAGAACCACTCATTTCTTAATAACTGCTCTACATTTACTTTATTTAGGACTGATAAATTTTATCATTTTATTAAACACCCACTTAGAACATTTTTTCATAATGATTTTATTTTGGTTGCCATGATTGCGAAACTCAAGGCCAACATTTAAAAAATTAAATTTTTTTTATAAAATCATGGTAATTATCATTATTGTTTAAACAATGAGTAATTATTTATATTTTATTTATTTATTATTATATATTATTAATTATAATATTTATTATCATCAGATTAAATAACCATAGAAAGGAAATGATACTAGGTTCCAGACATAGAAAAAAAAGATTCCAGAGAGAGTATCTCTGCTAGGTAGCTACTATAATAGTAGTTTTATTTCTAATAGAAATAAAACTACTATTATAGTAGCTACCTAGCAGAGATACTCTCTCTTTTCCATAGAAATTTTCTATGGAAATGACATACTTTGTTGTTCTATAATTGCTGCAAGAAAGAGGCTATACCTAGGACCAATTAGTGATTGACCCTTGTGCCTTATGTTCTGTACCTTGGTCACCTTATTATACTCATAGAGTCTCTGATTATACCTATTATACAGGACGGTTGCAACCAGAGACAAGGGTCTCTGGTTACAACCCAGGACAGGTTCTGGTTTTTGCTAATGTGTCCTGGTTTTAATTGTGTATACACATTGTGTAGTACACAATTAAAACCAGGTATACTGGTTTTGTCCTGGTTTTGCAGATTTGGTCCTGGTTTATACTTTTTTTTTTATTGACGTTATTAGCAATATTTTTTTTTTAAGTGGTTGGGGCTCAGGTTAAAAAATAATTTACAAATTTGAATTTTTAGGAGTACCTTTAAGATAGTAAAAAGTAAAAAAATACCTCGTTTGAAAAAAAAATTATACAAAATTATGACTTTTTCTCACTTTTTTAGGATTTGTTCTAATTTTTTTATAAAAAGTGGTCTGATCAGGTTAAAATTTAATTTACAAATATGAATTTTTGGGAGTAGGTACCTAATATATTACCTATAGGTACTACCTATAGGTACTATACCTATATACAGGGTGTCCCGAAATTAGGGGGCCAAACTTAAACAGTGCATTCTTTATAGAAAAATAACACTTTTTTGTTTTATAAACATATATCAAAAAATGCCCCCTAACGGAGCTACGCCCCCCTAAATAGGAGCTTAAGAGCATCATTTTTTTAAAACTATTCCTAGAGGGTTGAACATGAAGACCTGAATTTTTGGGACTTTGGTAATTTTGACATTCTGAATCTGGATCTATAATCAAAACTGTTAAAATTTAATCATAGGCGTAACATTTGAGGGGGCAAATTTACAAAAACAGCCCCAACTTATTGCAGAGTGTGTATTTTAATGTTTTGTTATAAAATTATGAAAATGTATAGTTTTTCACAAAAAATAGGTACTCTTGCTTTGAATCGCTCAGATTCAATTTAAATTACTATGCTTAGCATAATTTCTAATATTTTCATTAAAAAGCTTTGGGACAAAAGTGACGTTTGGGTTATTTGCTGACTTTACTTTTATTTTTATAGTTTAGTTAATATTTTTTGGCTCGATTTTTGTTATTTTTTATTAAGGAGCGATTTTCCAAATTTTAACACAAAATTTTAACGAAAATGAGAGGTGTGTATGCTATGCAGAGCAATTTATAAATGCATTTTTCTCGAAAATGGTGCATCTGAGCGATTCAAATCAAGACTACCTATTTTTCGTAAAAAACTATAAGTTTTCATAATTTCATAAAAAAAAATTAAAATATTATCTCGGAAAAAAGTTGGGGCTATTTTTATAACTCCCCCCCCTAAATGTTACGCATATGATTATTTTTTAACAGTTTTGATCTTGGATCTTGATTCAGCATCTAAAAATTACCAAAGTGCCAAAATTTCATTTCTTCATGTTTAACGCTCTAGGAATAGTTTTAAAAAAAACTATTCTCTTAGGCTCCTATTCAGGGGGCCGTAGCTCCGTTAGGGGGCATTTTTTTATACATGTTTATTTAACAAAAAAGTGTTACTTTTCTATGAAGAATGCACTGTTTAAGTTTGGCCCCCTAATTTCGGGACACCCTGTATATTAGGGTGTTTCATTTAAAACGAAAAAAATTTTTTTCTTGCTGACACATGAAAAATTTGTTTTTTAGGTTGAAAAAAAAATTCCCTGAAAATTTGAGCCCATAATTTTGATTTTAAGTACTTCCTTTTTAATTTTGTAGTTTTTCCATATAAAAAGCATGTATTTTTTAATCATTTTTACTTTGAATTTCTATATGTTGGCCGGGTTTTGAATTATAATTTTTATCACCATAATTTTCTGTATAGTATTCATGGTTTTTGAAAGGTCCTGCATAAATTTTGTTTTTGATTTATTTACGTTGACTGTAGTAGCTCCAAAAGTCGTTTTTTCACTTTATTTCACATATTTTTGAGAAAATCGAGCGAATGACTGGTTTTACCGAAAAAGTTCAAATAAAAAAGTTGTAGAAAATTTAATTTTTGACAAAAAAGGTTCTCACGTTTATATCACTAAAGTGCTTTGTTTAAGAGATATAAGCAATATATAGTTGTTGAATCAAATTACATACATGTATACATAAATTTCAATAAAACCAATTTTTTCTTTGTTTTTGGTTATTGAATTGCTTATATCTCTTAAACAAAGCACTTTAGTGATATGAACGTAAGAACCTTTTTTGTCAAAAAATAAATTTCCTACAACTTTTTTATTTGAACTTTTTCGGTAAAACCAGTCATTCGCTCGATTTTCTCAAAAATATGTGAGAAAAAGTAAAAAAACGACTTTTGGAGCTACTACAATCAACGTAAATAAATAAAAAACAAAATTGATGCAGTGCCTTTCAAAAACCGTGAATACTATGCAGGAAATTATGGTGATAAAAATTATAATTCAAAACCCGGCCAAAATATAGAAATTTAAAGTAAAAATGATTAAAAATACATGCTTTTTATATGGAAAAACTACAAAATTAAAAAGGAAGTACTTAGAATAAAAGTTAAAGGCTCAAATTTTCAGGGATTTTTTTTTTCAACCCAAAAAACAAAATTTTTATGTGTCAGCAAGAAAAAAAATGTTTCGTTTTAAATGAAACGCCCTAATATATACCTATAGGTATACCTTCAAGATAGTAAAAAAGTAAGAAAAAACCTCGTTTATTTTTTTTTAATAATGAGTTTTTCCCACTTTTTTAGGATTTGTTCTAATTTTTGTATTAAAAGTGGTCAGGGCTCAGGTTAAAAATTAATTTAAAAATCTGAATTTTTGGGAGTATACTATAGGTACCAGGATACCTAAAGGTACCTTTGGAAGTGCATCTTGTGTCCTGGTTTTTCATTTTAGAGAGTTGGTCACCTTATCTATATTTAACGAAAATCTTTCATCTTTTATGCTAATTATATATATTTTCCATTCCTAAATATAGTGCTGCACTTTTTTCTCACTCAGTTTTTTTAAACACAACCCTTAAGACAATTGTCACAAGGCCCTTGTGTCACAAGGTCAATGCAATGAAATTACTGGTGCATATAGAATCTATATTATAGATATGTATCTATGGAATGGAACACGTTTTGGCAAAACACATTATTAAATAATTAAATTAATGAAATAGATAAATACCATCTTATTATAATTTACCGCTATATATACCTATATATAGGTAGGTATTATAATACCTATATATTTACAACATAAAATCATTGATTCACTCAACGATATATTAATATTAACGATATATTAATATAAGGTGTATGTATCTTGTATTAATATTACTTATATTTACGATTTATAATTTAAATAATGTTTTTAACTTTAGAAATTATATTCCTGGAGGATGACAATGCAGTAATTTTTTCCTCATTGCTGCTAACAGCATGCTGTCGGTGAAAAATAAACAATTGTTATTATTATATTAATATGTGTTAATATAATATTATATTATAATATTATCCCTGCGTTTTTATCTTCAGCAGCCATTGGTTATTTTGTACTGAACCAACACCAGCTCTCGGAGCTCGTACCAGAATAGTTGCACCGAGGGCACTTCAAAATGCTCTGACTGTTTAATGGAACACTAAAAACACAACCAGTGTTATGAATGGAACACAAAAAATGCACCATGGTGCATGCGAGAGGTACCGGGATCGATACCCGGCGCCTGCTGTTGCTCACTGGGTTTCCTTATACAACAAACTGCAAGTTAAATAAAATAATGCTATTGCTTGAAATGTAAAAATAAAAGCGGGAAACTAAAAACCAATATACAATAGATTAAATATTTGTATTGTTAATTTCTAAAATTACACGTCTAAACAATAAATAAATATGGAATATTTCTCAAGCTATCGGTACATGTCCATACCGTATTTTCACGCGAGTGCCGAGTGCATCCGAACGGAAACTTGGGGATTTTTTACAGCGAACGGCTCGCGGTTCAACTTGAACCGTTCCAGGCATACAGGAGTCATAAAGGATCATTTGCGTTTTCCATGATGTTCTATGAAGTAAACTACTATTCGCAGCGTTTAAACATATATATTATAATTAATTCCTGTTATATACAAAAATAAATAAAAGGTGTTTTCTTATAAAAACATAAAAGAAGTATCTTAAAATTAATCTAAAATGCAAAATAAAATAATTTTTGGTTTGATATTAAGAAAATTGTTTTATGTTTATACGTTTTTAAAAAACGCATTTTATTTATATGCAAGACAAATAATGATTTTACACATTAGACTACATATTAGACTAGGTATAGTCTGATTTATAAAATATATAAATTAATAATTTACTGTGACTAGGTTACATTTGTGTCTAAATCATTTTAAAAAATAAATTAACTTAATAATAACGCAATGCGTTTTAAAAACCCTGTTGTAAATGACCGATTAATTCCTTAGAACCAATTGAAGTATTGGTTGGTATCAATAGGTCTGAATTGGACTTAGTGGGTTTAATTGCCCTGACAACATTCGTGATATTCATACGAACATCATGTCGTGATTTTCACAAATTTTATTCATACTGATATCATACGGAAGTCACCGCGTGATAAATGAAAATCATACGAACGTCACGGCGTGATTTTCACAAATTTTATTCATACGGACATCATCCGGATGTCACTGCGTGAGAAATGAAAATCATGTCGTGATTTTTTATGCCATCGCTGTTTGCGATTGACCGATGGCACAAAAAATCATGTCGTGATTTTTTATGCCAACGGTGTTGGATAATCATTTTTGCGCCATGTTCGTACACTAAGAGAAAAATTATGTTGAATCAACAGTTTTGCGGTTAAATACATTTAATATTTTCTTGGATTTAAATTAACTATATATAGTTAATTTAAATCCAAGAAAATATTGAATGTATTTAACCACAAAAACTGTTGATGCAATATATATGTAGGTATACTTTTTCTCTCAATGTACGAATTTGGCGCAAAAATAAATATCCAAACACCGATTGCATAAAAAATCACGACATGATTTTTTATGCTGTCGGTGTTTGGGCATAAAATATGAGGCGCCGTTTGTGCCATAATTATGTTGCTAATATATATTTATTTTTGTTTGATTATATATATTTTTTAAATTTATTTTTAAGTTTACTTAATATATTTATTATTTTACTTAAAATATATTTATTTTTTAAGAACAATATATTTATTTTTGTGTGTTAATATTAATAATATTATAATAATATTATTAATAATATTATGTTTTTTTGACATCTGCTAATATATATTTGTTTTTTTGACAGACAATTCAATGTGGCAACGTTGCATTGTCATTTAACCCGTTGTTCATAGATGTCGTTGTTGTATTAAGTTTACATATACTTACCACAAGTAAGTATATGTAAGTTTATTGATACTTTACCGGCAATATTTTTTGAATTTTTGAGGTTAGATTCCATTAACGACTTTGTTTTTATTTATAAACGAAAGAAATAGTGAAGACGGTAAATTTTTTGCGGTTATTTAAAACAGGTAAATTCACAATAAATTTTTTTTTATTAATTTTCTGGAATATTTTTTGTAAAAGCGAAATTTTAGTAATAATGAAAAAAAATAGTCCAGAGTTGCGTAGCACACTTGTTTTGAGTAGCCACCGAAAATTCACCGAATTTTTCTTTCGTTTTTAAATAAAAACAATCGCCGATGGAATCTAACCTCAAACATTCAAAAAATATTGCCGGTAAAGTATCACTAAACTTCATATACTTACCACACATATACAGATCATTTTGGATTCAGGCTTCTTCTTCTTCTTCTATACTTTTTATTCTCTCTTTCGAGAGAATTGGACTTGAGCCGATTAGGCTCTTACTGCCCAGTTACTAGTTTTAACGTCCAATGATTTCCGAAGAACCAAAGACCATTGGACAACGGTTTTCTAACGAACACGTGGACACAAATAGGTTATATAACCTTGAAATTTATATGTTCATATAAATTCCTCTATTCCTTTAAAAAAGGACAAAACGAGGAATATTATCTAGGACTGGAATCCGATTTTGTCCTCCCTGAGTCAAAGTCAACTATATTTCACACTTTTCATGGAGCAATGCACGAGCGATGCGCTTCTCACCGAGGACAAAATCGGCTGTTTCCTTTTCGTGGGGTTAAAGTAGGAGCTAGCTACTTATGCAGTTTTACACATGCGTGGGGCCGTGTTGCCAGATGTAATTATATTCTAATATTATTTTCGTTAATATAAAGCTTATAAAAATATTTTATATTGCATAATTTATAAAGAATTAATAAATTATGTTTTTAAGTATTAATAATAAAAAGAAGTATTATTTTTTCAATTTTATAAAAATGTTTTTAGCATTAGAAATTTGGCTACGTCTGTGTGGTAAGTATATGGTAAACTTAAAACAACAACGACATCTATGAACAACGGGTTAAATAACAGTGCAACGTTGCCACATTGAATTGTCTGTCAAAAAAACAAATATATATTAGCAGATGTCAAAAAAACATAATATTATTATAATATTATTAATATTAACACAAAAAAATAAATATATTGTTCTTAAAAAATAAATATATTTTAAGTAAAAAAATAAATATATTAAGTAAATTTAAAAATATATTAAAAAAATATATATATATTCAAACAAAAATAAATATATATTAGCAACATAATTATGGCACAAACGGCGCCTCATAATAAAAAATCACGACATGATTTTTTATGCCATCGGTGCACCGACATGTTTGGATATTTATTTTTGCGCCACATTCGTACATTGGGAGAAAATGTATGTTAACAATTGAATTAACAGTTTTTGCGGTTAAATACATTTAATATTTTCTTGGATGTAAATTAACTATTAATTTAAATCCAAAAAAATATTGAATATATTTAACCACAAAAACTGTTGATTCAATATACATACATATATGTAGGTATACTTTTTCTCTCAATGTACGAATTAGGCGCAAAAAAAATCTAAACACCGATGGCATAAAAAATCACGACATGATTTTTTATGCCATAGGTGTTTGGATATTCATTTTTGCAACACATTCGTACATTGAAAGAAAAAGTATGTTAGCAATTGAATCAACAGTTTAACATTCAATATTTTCTTGGATTTAAATTAATTATATATAGTTAATTTAAATCCAAGAAAATATTAAATGTATTTAACCGCAAACACTGTTGATTCAACATAATTTTTCTCTTACTTTACGAACGTGGCGCAAAAATGATTACCCAAACACCGTTGGCATAAAAAATCACGACATGATTTTCATTTCTCACGCAGTGACATCCGGATGATATCAGTATGAATAAAATTTGTGAAAATCACGATGTGATTATCACGAATGTTGTCCGGGTAGGTTTTAAATTCGCAGTTCGCAGGGCTCATAAGCATGCGCAAATTTTGCAAATATCACACCGTGAGTTCTACATGATATCACTGTGATGAAGCATGTGTATGCACTCAGGATATCACAGCGTGATAAAAAAAATCACGTTGTGATATCATCATAACTTCACCAGGAAATCCCGATTGTTGTCCGGGTGGGAGCGATATAAAACAGAAATTGGTTTTTACTGGTATTTTCCATGATGGAAAACTCCGATTAGGATTCTACTGTTGTTTATTGGTTTCGGGTGGTTAAAGCTACCAATAGGTAATTTCCAATTGAATTCAATTGGGCATTCCCAGTCAGTGTTACCAGATTCTGTCAAAAAAGGACCGTACGTTTCGTTCGAATTTACCTTTATTGCAAAATGACACAATGAAACAATGCAAATAAATGCAATTATGTCAAGTTGACGTTATTTAATATTGTCCATTGAGTCATTTTTGTACTTAAGGTAAATTCGAACGAAACGTACGGTCTTTTTTTGACAGAATCTGGTAACACTGTTCCCAGTGTAAGATTCTAGAAAGGAATCTGCTAATTAGTTATTCCCAATACTTTAAAATATGGAAAAGTCCTATTAGGATTCTACTGTTTTTTAGTGGTTTCGATTGGTTAAAGCTACCAATAGGTAATTTCCAATTGAATTCAATTGGGCATTCCCAGTGTAAGATTCTAAAAAGGAATCTGCTAATTGATTATTCTCATACTTTAAAATATCGCAAGAGGGCTCTCGTGTAACTGCGCAAAACCAACGTACGCAGTCTTTGTTCGAATGGTTGAGACGCCATCATAAAGAAACAAACAAGTCTTTGGACGCTATTTAATGTCGTTTTTTTATTAGTCGGTTTCTTTTATAATCTATGGGTTTCTGTGCTTAGTGGTAGTTGTGTACTTATAACCAGTGGCAGCTGGTGGATTTTGGGCAAACCCATATCTCAGTTATTAGTCATGGGACCCACATCAAATTTATATGAGTTTATTATGACACTATATAGACAAGTTCTGCGCAAGCAGAATTTAAATTGAAGTTTGCGAAAAAAGTTAGTTTTTAAGTGTGCCCCCCACCCTCCTGCCCCCATATTAAGATAATTCAAATTAAAGTGGTACAATATTAAATTTACTGAAGTATATCGAAAAATTTCAAATTTTATTAAAAAAACCAATTCCATTTTTTTTTAATTTCATAAAAGAAATAATAAAAATTTAAAATGGTATAAAACCTGCAATTCTTGAATTTTTTTAATAAAATTTGAAATTTGTCGATAAACAACTTCACTGAATTAAATATTGTACCACTTTAATTTAAATTATCTTAATTTAGGGGGCAGTAGGCTGGGGGGCACACTAACTTTTTTTCGCTAACTTCAATTTAAATTCTGCTTGCGCAGAACTTGTCTATATAATGTCATTATGAACTCATATAAATTTGATGTGTCCCATGTCTAATAACTGAGATATGGGTGTGCCCAAAATCCACCAGCCGCCACTGCTTATACCTGATGAATTCTGGTTTTTACCCGGTTATTCTTCTGAGATCTTAATTATTTTTGAATGAAAAATCAATTGGTATTTATAATCCAAATTAAACAAAATAAATTGGTTCAAATTGGTTTGAATGGGTTTGGCTCTATGAATTACCAATTCATCCCAGGTGCATTTAGCCAATAGAGGCAAGCATAGGCATGGATTGGTATATTCCAATTTAAGCCGCTGACTTCATTGGAACTTACCAATAGGAATGCAACTGGAATGAATTGGTGATTCACAGCGCCAAAACACATTTCAAACCAATTTATTATTTTTTATTAGATTCTATCGGTCATTTACAATAGGGAATGCACAGCTTCATCTTAAGGCCAGTGACTTGCTATGTATATAGCAAGTAGCAGTATTATACTAATTATAATAGTAGTATAATGAATATCGTCGAAGCGATATTCCCCACTCACTAAGAAGTGCTCCCACGTTTAACAACAAAATATATTTAATCACATTTTAGCGTATAGTTTGTGACATATGCAAAGGTGTAAGCATTAATTCAAAAGCGGCATCTTTAAGATTTGCACCCCTTAAATTTGCTTCATGAAGATCGCTTCCAGATAAATCACAATTCTAAAAAATGACAAAATTAACAATTTTACAATATTTCAGAAAAAATATTACCTCTAAATCTGCACCAGCCAAAACTGCAGCTCTTAAATCACAGTTCTTTAAGTTGGCATTTTTTAATGTTGCAACTCTTAAATTCACCCCTCCCATATCACTACCCTCCAAAATGGCTCCCTTAAGGTTTACTCCTTCCATGTTGGCTTTATTGCCTCCTGGGTCTTTAAAATTTGAGTTTTTCATGGTGGCACCCTCCAAATTTGCACAGAGACTTTTTACACCTAAAAAAGATTATAATTTCATATCAATTGAAAATTGGTACCTAAAGATTAATTAAAAATATTTTTTTCTTACAATTTGTGTTTGCCACCATGGAACCATACGATCTGTGCCGAATTACAATTTATTTTATTACATAAAATTGCAAGTTTAAAATTAAAACCAGAAACATTTTTCAAGAGGTTTTTCCATTTTCTGGACCACCGTGCCCCTGACCACATCTCTGAATAATTCCGGATATTTATTTTAATTGCTATAGGTATATATACCATTTCTCTACTAAAAGTCTTATTAAGTCTTATTAACTCTTCAAGAAGACTCCCAAATCTTGCAATTAGTCTGACTTACTAAGACTTATTTAGACTTTTTCCGACTTAATAAGTCTTATTCTGACTTTTTCCGACTGAATAAGACTTATTCAGATTTTTTAAGAGAAAGTAAGACTTTCAAAACTCTTACTTATACTTATAAAAACTTTTTCAGAAAAAAATTTCTGCAAGGGTGGCACTACATAATAATATGATGTAGTGCCACACATATTAATATGTGTGAAACTACATCATGTTGTGTGGTTTAGCGCAGGGATGTACATTGTACATTTCCAGTGTGGCACAGCGCGTAGGCCCCATGACAGTTAACGTGTCAACATTGCAATGTGTATGTCATAACGTGAAATAATTCACTGATAAAAATCTATGTTACAGGTATCTTCCTTGAAACGCAGCTTACACAAATTTTAATCAAAATTGATACAATTTTAAACCTAAAATTTGTATTATGCAGTATTCGCTTATTTGTGTAAAATTCCTCGAAAATTTATAATACTTCCGCAAATTATTTCAGAGAATTTTTTAAAGTAGTGCCACGTTGTATTAAGTTAATTTATAATACTTCCGCAAATTATTTCAGAGAATTTTTTAAAGTAGTGCCACGTTGTATTAAGTTAATTTATCAATAAAAAAATATTTTTCTTAAAAAGGAGTATTTTAGAGAGAATAATTAAAAAAGTACTCCGATACCGGGAATCGAACCCGAGCCTTGAGTGTGAGAGCCAGGTACATACCTATACAAGGTGTCCCTAAACTTATTGGCATAAATTTAGGAAAAGATTGAGCAAGTCAAAATAAGATGAAAACCCAAATAAATATTTTTCCCAATTACTTATGTTTCCATGATACAGGGTGATAAAGTGTTACTTATCATATCAGTTTTTTTAATATAACCTCTACTATGGTAGTCCTGGAAAGGTGATATTTTGCGAACAGTCACTTACTACTAAAAGACATATTCACACATAATTATAATTGTTTGAGTGATAACAGTGTCGTGGAAAAGGGGGTTGCTTTAAGCTTATTGGCCCATACAAACTTAGGTTAGGTTTTTATAACATTTGATGCAATTTTTAGATTACACAGTTCGGCTACCATTAAAAAGGTGTACCTCTCAAACTTCGATAAAATAAACCGTTTCTGAGATATTCAAAATTACAATAATTCTTATATTGCATTATTTAAAAGCATTAAAAGGTATATGATAACAAATTTTATTTTTTAATTGAAAAAACTAAAAAGGGCATTCCGTGAGCCTCGGGACTTTTTGCCCTGACCGTCAAATTAAAAAAATTGTAGTTTTTCCAATTAAAAAATTTGTTATCATATACCTTTTAGTCCTTTAATGCGATATAACAATTATTGTAATCTCGAATATCTCGGAAACGGTTTATTTTATCGAAGTTTGAGAAGTTCACCTTTTTAATAGTAGCCGAACTGAGTAATCGAAAAATTGGATGAAATGGTATAAAAACCTAACCTCAAAGTTTGTATGGGACAATAAGCTTAAGCAACCCCTGTTTGTACGACACTGTGTTCACTCGAACAATTGTAATTATGTGTGAATATGTGTTTGTAGTAAGAGACCGTTCGCAAAATTCCACCTTTCCAAGTCTACCATAGTAGAAGTTATATTAAAAAAACTGATTTGATATTAACACTTTATCACCCTGTATCTTTTAAACATACGTAATTAGGAAAAATATTTATTTAGATTTTCGTCTTATTTTGGCTTAATCTAAGCTGACCATACGTCCTGTATTCTACAGGACTGTCCTTTCTTTTTTCCCACTGTCCTGTATTGTAGGCGTCCTGTAAAATGTCCTGTATTTTGCCTGTAAATACTGACATTATTATATTTACTTTACTTTCTAAAACCTTCAATTTAAAGCTGGCAAAGTAGCGCTTGGAAAGGTATGGACTTCCCTGAAACTAAAGATATTTCAACTGTGCAATACGCAGTGCGCATACTCTGTAGCGTCATCATCTTACATACTGAAACAGGGTACTGAACCAAACAGTACTGTATTCATTTATGAATCATAGATTAATACAAGTAGGTATATTTAATTAAGTGATAGTTTAGCTATAAATATCTATTCAGGGTATTGTGATTTTTGCCATTTTATTGTTAAAACTGGTTAAGTTTGTAAGAAAATATAAATATAATAATAATATACTAATAATTGTGCCTTCATGAACAAGTAAAAAATCTCAATTGTAGGTAGAAACACAAGTCGATGTTGGTTCTAACGTAGGTACCATGTGGAAAGAACATGTGAAAATTTTTATAAAAAAATATTAAAAAATGTTAAGTTGTTAAAAAAATCATAGTTTTCAAAAATATTTATAAAGAAGTAACATGTTTATTTATTTATTGCTTTTGCTTAAAGTGTGTTTATGTTTGAGTTTGTTAATCTTTATTTACTTGTAAATAAAATATGTTTTTTTCTTGATTTTGGGATAATAAACATATGTTTTTACTATTTTCGTTGATTTCGATAGTAACTGTTGGGTTGCGGGTCCTGTAATGGCTTACAAAAAATATGGTCACCTTGGCTTAATCTGCTCCTAAATTTATGCCACTAAGTTTAGGGACACCTTGTATATCTTAAACACTAGACCAAACACCAAATGTAACAAAACGTCCAACTGAAATTTATCGATGTAAATACATCGATGTTTTGCACCGATGTATCGTGCATCCCTAGCTTGAAGAGCCTGAGCCAATGTTGCCAGTGTCAAATATTAACCTTATCCCCCAGTCATCTAAAATTATCCGCTTTTTTGTGAAAGCGGAAAGAAAAAAAGGAAAAGACATAGAAGAAACGAATGCACATTTACAGAGGGCATGACAAATGTGGATAATTATAAAACTTTGTTTAAATTTACTCCACATTATACAATGTATGTAGCAGAGCTGGGCACGAGTACTAAAAGAAGTAATCGTAAAATTGTACTTTACTCGTAAGTACATTTGTAAACAGAGATTACGGTTACGAGCAGTAATCGTGAAAACACAAGTAAAGAATACGAGTACTTAAAAAAAAATGGTAGTTAATATATTATTTTTTATACATTATAAATACTTTATACATTAGGTACAAGGTGATCCCCTATAATGTTTTTATTTTACCAAAATTGAAAAATTGATCAGTATACAGGAAAACAAAAAGTTTATTTTTTCTCAATGGATCAGCCTATATATAAATTTATTTTTCGATTCCTTTTAAAATTCTAAGCTTAATTTATATAAGGGTCGTTTTCAAAAAACACCCGCCTTCCGCTGTCCGTAAGTTTGAATTCCAATAACTTTGTTAAAAATTATCGGATCTTATTGATTTAAAAACCAAGTGAAAGCCTAACAAGCCCTTAGTATACTCTTTCAGAAAATGTTTGTTTAGTTATTTCAGAATAATTTATTTTTAATTTTCAAACTTGTGAAACACACATTTTCGCATGTCCCATTAATCTTTTAAAAAGTAACTTAACTAACATAAATATTTAAAAAAGGCATACAATTTTTAATAAAAAATAAAATTGGAGTCAAAAGTTTGTGAATTAAGTACATTTTATTTTAAATTATTTTTATAACAACTTTTTTTATTGAATTAAATTTTGGATTTCAAATTGGTGGAGACATATAATTTGAATGAAATTTTGATCTTCATTTTCCTGAAAGCGGGTGTTTCTTGAAAATGACCCATAACATACCATGGTATATAATATATTATCTAAATTCAACCGTTTCTGAAATATTTAAATTATTTTAAAGATAATAAGTTAAAATAGTTTGTGTTTCTCGTATTTTTTAGTACCTACGGGTAATTCCATTTATTAGCCACCAATGAGTGCACCTCATATACTCTAATTTTATTTCTTTTTTAACTGTAAAAAGACATGGACCCAAGAAGTGAAAAAAACTCCCCTTTTCTTTTCTCCCCCTATCACCTATTTATACAGGGCTACGCAAAAGTTACTATGCAGACCTAACTTAAAAAAATTGTACTTTTTTTGCTAATAAAGCTATCGACATTAAACAAACTGTTAATTGTTAAGAAAATATTTCTCTTTTAAAGCATATAGGACACATTTAGTTATTGATGCCCTAAATGGTCTTTGGGATTTTTTTTAAATGCAATTTTTTGGCAAAATTGTCTAATTTTATAAATTCATATATTCTTAGATCAACTTGCCAGCAAAATTTTTTTAATGTAGTTTGTTATCATAGATCTCACTCTATATAAAAGCAATGAAAACATTTTCAAATAATATTGGCTAAGAGTTCAAAAAAATATAATAAAAATCCATGTTTTCGAAAAATCACTATTTTCAGCCATTTCATGGTTTAAAAAGGCTATGTTTGAGTGAGTCGATTTAAACCAATTTATGCTTATCATCACATGCACTTATTAGCCTCCAATAACCATTAATAAAATTATTGTGTATTTTGCTTTTAACTAGGCTGTGGCTGTATGTACAGCCCAGCTATAAGCAAAATACACAATATACCCATCTGACTTTCAGCCATTTCATGGTTTAAAAAGGCTATGTTTGAGTGAGTCGATTTAAACCAATTTATGCTTATCATCACAGGCACTTATTGGTCTTCAATAATCATGAATAAAATTATTATGTATTTTTCTTTTAGCTGGGCTGTTTATGTATATGTC